ACTTATCTCCATTATCAAGAGGCTTCCTATCTCATCATTACCACATGCTTCCACATGATGTACTGCCTCACCACAGGCACTAAAGGGACGGGGCTAAGTGATTAAGGACTGAAACCTCTTCAACCATGATCCAAAACAAACGTTTTGTCCTTATGAGATTATTTACCTCAAGTGTCTTTCTGTGTGTGTGCTCACACTTCAATGCTGAGGATTGGACCTAAGGCCTTAAGCAAGTGCTCTACCATTAGGCTACATCTCTTGCCCTTGCTTAGAAATTTCATTTTGATACAGGGACTTGCTAAATTGCTCCCGCTGATTTCAGATTTGCAATCTTCCAGCCTCAGTCCCCAGATAGCTGTGATTACAGGAGTGTACCACCTGGTTGTTATTTTGCTCTCCTGATTTCTTGAAACCCAAAGTTTCGTTCTGGTTACATGAAACTTTAGTATGAATGGCTTCATTTTAATTTTTACTCTGGTTTGTTGGAGCCACCTGCAGGAGCTCAGTCCAAAACAATGGCCCTCTGTAACTTTTTAAAACACTTAATTCCTAACATGTTGGAACTGTGCAGAAGGTTCATTTAGTGGACTTGCTCATCTTGGATGGTAGATTAGCCATGATACATGCTAACCCAGGTGGCAAGCTAATCTCCCTGGACAAGGAGACTCACTTCCACAGTTTGTTATGCTCCCTCATCATTCACCCAACAAACAATTATTAATTGGCATTTTCAAGTTACTCAACATCCAAACTATGCCCTGAAATATATGCAGTAATGTCACGTTTTTCCTAGTAGCTGTACAAACCTAGAGTTGGGGTCAACAAATCCAGGGAAACATTATGGTGATCCATAAAGCTTAGCACTTCTTTCCCTCCTCATGTAATCAGGGAAATGGGTATGTTTCTCAACCTACAGAGGTATTAGAAGAGGTCTTGTTATACGATAATGGAAAAATTTAGCGCATTATTCCCACATACATCTGCCTTTTGCATAAAAATTTAATAATCAACTTCCATACCATCTTGGGATACTTGTTGAGAAGATATGAAGGCTAAACTCTTGATGTCTAAACCCTGGCCAGGAAGTAACTTTAGAACTTGTTTCTTGCATATTAGCAAACAAATATTTGAACAGGCTAAATAAAAGGTCAGTGGCTATTTTGAGTAGCAATACTCTTCTTATTTATTCAGTGCTAGGAATTTAACCCAAGACCTCAAATACACTACACACACTCTACCACTGAGCTACACCCTACCCTGAGTGTGAATATTCTAGATTTGTAGCCACAATAAAACCTCACCAATTTAACCATAAAATTTGCTCTGACCAGCAATCTAGCCAGCTTCATTACCAGAATGTCAGCCCCTGACTTCTATTTCTTAGGCACACTCTGGGAGCTGTTGCGACACCTGCTGGAACTGTGTAGCCAGTTACATAAAGAGGGATTGACATTGTTACTTTAGCTTTTGGCAAATCCAAAAAGAGAAAAAGTGAAACTGGTCTAGAGAGGAGAGACTAGAACACATATTACAATCTGATAATCCCTGAGCACTGTCTCTTGGGGGAGCCTGGGAAGAGGACTGACAATCCTAGAGATTGAACAGAACCCAAACAATCCTACTTGCAGCTTGCCAGCCACATTTTAGCAGTTGGTTAGAAACAGCTATCCTCACTTTCCTAACTACTCTCCTATTTCTCACTACATAGTTGGTTCAAATGGTGCAGAATGGCTTGCCCAAGTTTAAATAGCTGGGCATTTAAATAGAATGTCCCTGGACCTCCAGTTAAAAGAGGCAGACACAGAGCTGACATTAGAATGCAAGTCCTCTGATTTTCAATCTGGTGTGTGGCCAGAGTAGCACCTGCTCCCTTTGGCATTTCTTCTGCTTTTTTGTTTGTTTGTTTGTTTTTGTTTCATGGTACTGGAGATTGAACCCAAGGCCTTGTACGTGTCAGGCAAATGCTATACTACTGAACTACATCCCCAGCAATTTTTATCTTATTTTGAGTCAGGGTCTTAGTAAGTTTCCCAGCTGGCCTTAGACAGCAGTCCACAACTCTTGGAAGATGGGGCCTGCCAGAGGAGTACAGACTTACATCAAAAGAATAATCACATTAAAATGAGGATACCTGATTTCACATAGGATTTGAGTGCTACTCTTGAGTCAGGAGGGCATTTGGAAATCAAAATAATGGACTTGAGGAAATATTTTAATGTCATGTAGGAATAATGAAACAAACTGTGAAATTTGTATTGTTAAAACTAAATTCTTGAGACTGAGGCATCTCTGAAAAAAAAAAAGTGTGTGGGGGGGGTGGTTATTGAGATATTGTAGATGCTAGCCAGAAAAGGATCAGGTCCTAGAACAAGTTTCCACAATTACCAGTACTAGGACTAGGTACTTGTTAGGAGAATGTCCCTGGACCTCCAGTTAAAAGTATTTTAATAAACTTTGGGAAGGAAGGCAATGTTTACATTGAATGTTCATTGGGCTATAAATAGGAGGGGTGAAATAACACAAAGCAGGGAAAGTTTTGGGGTAGGAGAGAGCAGTCCACAAAGAGAGTTACTTGATGGAGAAGTACTTACTGCTTCTGGATTGCTTGGGATTAACAGTCCAGAAAGCTCATATGCAAAGAGGTAAGGGGTTCCTGGTGGTCTGCCATGAAGGCATTTAAGTCCTAAACAGTCTTTTTGTTGGTTTTATCTATAACTGTTAACTGATCAACTAAGTTTCCTAAGTTTTTCCTCTCTCCATCCTTTCATTCTCTGACTCTCATAATTATAAGGGTGGTAGTGTTGTCTTTCAGTGCTGTAGATGGAACCCAGGGCTTCATGCATGCCAGGTAAGCTCTCCACCACTGAGCTATATGGATCCTTGCAATTAAATTTATGACATCTTAGACTTTTTTAAAAAATCAGGTCTTAGGAGACATCTGGAATACTTGGTTATTACATTGGAATAATTCAAGATATGGGTGGAGACAATACAGTATATACTAAAATATGGTTATTTAAACATGCACTATGGAGTTCAACAGACCTGTGTTTAAAGTCCTCCTCTGTCACTGATTAGCACTGTGATTAAGGCTACAAAAGAAAACATGGTTAGGGGCTGGGGTGTAGCTCAGTGATAGAGTGCATGCTTAGCATATACATGGTCCTGAATTCAACCTCCAGCATTGCATATGGAAAAGAAAAGAAGGTCAATAATCTCATAACCCCTCTCAGTGGGACTAGAGGCTGATTTTTTTGGCAGAGGTGGGGGACAGATTCTGAGTGTTGGCCTCAAAATTGTGATTCCCCCTGCCTCAGCCTCCTGAGTCACTGGAATTACAAGTGTGCACCACCATGCCCCACTGGAGGCTGGTGCTTGAGTCTGCAGTACACAGAGCATGCTCATGTGGCAAAGGTGCAAGGGAGGCTCTATTGTCACTGGGTCCTTTTTTTTAAAATCTCACCAGATATATAATTTGCATAATAATACTTGCCCCAGCGTATCCTAATAAATGAAACAAACTGTTGGAAAGAAGAACCCACTACCTCTTGCTCTGCTTGAGCTCCTCTGAAATTTACAGCTACTATGTATTATAGAAATTGGATGTTAGATTCCTCAAGACCATACCTCTATGCCTCCAGTGCCACTTATACTGGCTACTTGCTTCTATTTGTAGAGTCCAAGTATGAATTTCATGAATAAAGCCTGCTGCTCAGTGGAGATGGATCTGCATTAGAGAAATGGCAGAACAGAGAAAGCAGGCTCTCAAATCCTTTCACCAGAGTTTAAATACCTACTCAACATTTACAGACTCTGAGGCTTCATGTGAGCTACTTAAGTCCTCTGAGCCTCAGTCATCTCAACTGTAAAATGAGGATGATAATAATAACACCTCTTTATGGGATATGTCTGCATTGGTTATAAGTGGTGGGAAAGTAGCTCAGAGGCAGAGCACTTGCCCTACATGCCTAAGGTCCTGAGTTTGAGCTCAGAACAACAAAAAGAAGCAAACTCAGACAAGAATGATTTAATCACTGCAAAATCTTTATTTAAGCCTCTGTTTAGGTACAAATCACAAAGAAAATGTTTACAGACGTTCACCCAACTCTTACAGTTTCTCATCCCCTCCAATTTCCTGCTTCCTTTTCTTCTTTAATTTCTTTTTTCTTTTATATATCCCACTTATTCTTTCTCATTCTCAACTATATTCCTTGTCTATTTTGTGTGTGTGTGTTTGTGTACGTGTGTGTGCGTGTGTGTGTGAGCGCGCACATGTGCACGGTACTGGGGACTGAATTGAGAGGTGCTTTACCACTGAGCTATATCCTCAGTCCTTTCTTAATTTTAATCTATTATCATTTTCATTATTATTTTGGAACCCCAGGGGCACTTAATCACTAAGTCACATTTCCAGCCTTTTTTATTTTTTGAGACAGGGTCTTGCTAAGTTGCTTAGGGCCTTGCTAAGTTGCTGGGGCTGGTCTGGAGCTTAAAATCCTCCTGCCTCAGCCTCCTGAGTTGTTAGGATTACAGGTGTGTGCAACCACCTGGCTTGACTATCTTAAACAGAGATATAGGGGGAAAAAAACCTTAGTAAAATAATAAAATCACAAAAATATATAAACACAGGTTAAGAACTTCTAGGGACAGAATGAAGAAAGGTACAAAGGAGATTCCATTATCACCTTTAGGAGTATGAAAATCTTAAACAATGATAATAGAAAACTGACCTATGGCAAAGAATTCATTTTTCTTTGCCCTGAGCAGCCCAGGGGGTAGAAATAAAAACACCAGAGAGGAAAGATTTAGGGGAACTGTGTGGGGAGTGAATATACAATTAAGTGAAAGGAATTGTCTTCAAAAAGGCTCCAAAGAAGAGGGCGCTAGAAACAACAGTAGAGTTCTCTGAAGAGTCTCTGGAATACCCACTTGTCCTTTGCTGAGAAGAAACAAGGCACAGAAGATCCTCCTTTCTTCATTTTTTTTTTCTGTCTAAGATGCATTCCACCTTCTCTGACAAGTTTCTGTATTTTTAAATTATTTTATGCTATTTCTTCGCAGTGCTGGGGATCCAACGTAGGACCCTGTGAATGCTAGGCAAGCATTCTACCACTGAGCTACATCCCCATCCTCAAATGGTAAGTTTCTAGACAGCCTTCAAGATTCAGGTTGGCTGGGCACAATGGCGCACACCTGTAATCCCAGCCACTCTAATGACTCGGGAGGCTGAAGAGGATTGTAAATTTGAGGCCAGTCTTGGCAACTTAGCAAGTCCCTAAGCAAATTAGCAGGAGCCTGTCTCAAAGTAAAAAATAAAATAAAATAAAAAGGGCTGTGGGGTTGGAGCTTAGTGGTAAAGCACCCCTAGATTCAGTTCCTACTGCCAAAAAACAAAAAAAAAAAACAAAAATTCTAGTTCAGACTATACCTATTTGATGATGCCTTCCTCAATGGAAGCTTCCCTGAACAGAGTTCTCACTTCACGGTCTGGACTCCCACAGGACTTTGCTCAGACTTCTACATCCACCATGACACCCGTATTGCTTTACAAGTCTGTCCTCTGATCAGGAGCTCTCTGTGTTATGTATCCTTGGTGTTTCACACAGTGCCTGGCCTATAACAGGCAATTAATAACTATGTGAGGGGGGAAAAAAAAGAGGCAAAAAAACAAACAAGTCCACAAGGAAGAGAAGGCTGGAGGGAGAGAGAAAACATCTGACTCAACCTTGCCTGAAATAAACTTAAAACAACTCTGGGGACAGAGACTGACAAGGAGAAAGGGCTTTTCCGTCTTCTCTGCCTTGTGCTCTTCTTTCAGCTGTTCCCTTTCACACTACAACTGTCCCATTTCTGCTTCTGGCCCCTCAGTTTACCCAAAGGGAAGGAAAGAGGCCAGATAGGTCTCTAAATTCTTTAATCCCATCCCTTCAGACCACATCTCTTTTCCACGGTAGGCATCTCCTCCTGGGCCTCTTTATCTCCCCATAACACACACAATACTCTCACCTCATTGCCCTGGAGAGGTCATCAGGCATCTGGGTCACCTATGCTGTCCAGGTTCTGATGGGAGCTTCTGTCTCTCATGGAAACCAAAAGACTCTCATGGAAAGCCTAGTCTCTAGGCTGGAAACACTAGACTCAGCCTACAAAAATTGCCTAAGAAAGAATATTATGAAGAGGCATCCCAGGAATGGCAGTAGAAAGGAGCAAGTACTAGGAAAAAGGAGAGCTGAACAGTTCCTCCCACACGCCTAAGCTCATGGATGGCCTTTCCCCATTTTCTCCTCAATCCATGGATTAGAATTTCTTTTCTAACTATCCTTCATGTATGTCTCCTATGCTTTGCTACTGGAGCTTTTGTTTTGGTTTGGTTTGGTTTGGCTTTATTTTGAGACAGAGTCTTGTTAAGTTGCATAGACTGGCCTCAAACTTACAATTTTCCTGCCTCAGCCTCCCGAGTAGCTGGGATTACAGGTATGTGCCACTGCATCAGGCTTTGATCTTTTCTTTTATTCTTTGGTGCTGGGGATGGAACCCGAGGCTTCATGAATGATATACCATTGAGCTACACCCGCAGTGTCTACTGAAGCTTCTTAACTCTTCCCAACCAGATGCACTTCCCCTACCAAGAATCCCTAAGCCTTGTGGAATTACTCCTGGGTTGCCTATTTTACCCAACTATTCAGCTGCCTGGGCTTCCCCAACACCCTTTCCTCAGTGGAGATCATATGTACAAAAGCAGTTTATGAGCTGTAAAATACTGAATGAGAATAAAATACTATCAAAAAGCCTTCTCTGTCTCTCCTCATAATCTCTGTCCTTTCCTTAAGATATTCCTTATCCCTTCCTCCCCTGATACACTGCTGCTCCCTCTTCACCCAGCAGGTTTAGTTTGGTGCAGGGTGGGAACCAATGCTATGTGCTGCACCGTGGGGAGTGTCAGGATGCAGGCAGGCATCTCAGCCCGAGGCCTTGGCAGAGTTCCCAGGCACAGCCATCGGCCCAGGCCAGGACAATAAGCATGGATAAGGTGGGAAAGGGCATAGGTACGGTGGCTGTAGCCTCCTAATACCAGTAGCTCCCCCTGGAGCACAGCACCTGCAGCACCCACATGGGGGGAAGGCAGGGGTGCCAGGCGAGTCCAGCTATCAGTTCTTGGCTCATAAGCCTCAAAGCTCAGCAAGTCCCCAGTCTCACCCAGTCCACCTGCCACATATAGTCGTCCTCCCAGAGCAGCCATGACATGGCCAGCCCGAGGTATGCCCATTGGGCTCAAAAATGTCCCTGGTTTCTCAAGTTTGGGGTCGTAGTGCAGCAATGAGCCCAGGTATTGACCAGTCCCATTACAGCCACCACTCACATACAACTGGCCCTCCAAGATGGCAGCTGCATGGGCAAAGCAGGGTGCCGGAAGTGCAGGTGCTGGCCTAAGGGAGAACAGGATATAAGATCAGGCAACCAGCATCTTCAACTCTGCTTCTACTCCAAGTCTAATTTCTCCCTGATGGCCCCCTGCCTGCTTACCTCCAGATATTGAGTTCAGGGTTATATGTTTCCACAGAGTTGAGAGCAACACCATTGTATCGTCCACCCAGGGCATAAAGTTGTCCATCCAATGCCATCAGGGGGAAAAAACTCCGAGCCTGGCATAAAGGTGCCACCTCCTCCCAGTCCTCTTGACTGGGGTCCCACCTGGGCACAGTGGGACAAGAGATGGAAAGAATGACTCTGGGAATCTATAGTTAGTTGGGTCATCAATTTCTCTCACCTGCCCACCTTGGGGCCTGCCACACCCTGCCCATTCTTAGAGGACCATACCTGAGAGTTGAAGCCAGAGTGTTGGAGTGGCTGTAGAAATCCTGTCCCCCACACACATAGAGTTCACTTCCTGCCACGCTTGCAGCCCCATGCCGGAAACGACCTGGGGCAGGCAGGGCAGGCAGCCGCCCCCACTCCACAGTTCGTACCAGTCCCATGCCACAGTGGAAGGCCCGGGCCCAACACACTTTTCGAGATGGCTGTCTTCGGGCCATATCAGGTCTGAGCTCGTCCCCACCAATCACCACCAGTGCCCGGTCAGGTTCCCTCCGCCTCTCTTGACCTGGAACCTCAGACTCCACCATCAGCTGGTGTAGCAGGTCTGGGGGCAGGGTTGGGGGTAGCCCAGCTGCCCGCACCTTCCTCAGCTCTCGGGTAGACATGCGGCCAAAGCGGACACATCGCAGCAGGGCCCTGGCCTCTGACTCCTGGGTCTCAGGGTTGGCAGCTAGCCAACACCGTGCAGCCACAAAGGCCTCAAACTCTTCTTGGACATGGAGCTCATCACTATCCAGGAGCTCAGCCAGGAAGGCAGCTGGTAAAGAAGGGAAAGCAGGGCACAAAGCCACAGCAGGCAGGTGGGTGAGGAGGTAGTGTCGGGCTTTGCTCCAGAGCCTCTCCAACCCGGGGGCTTCAGCCATGGGGAACAGGGCCAGGCATCGGGCAGGGCTGAGGTCTCGTGCCAAGGCTCTCTGACATAAAGCCAGGCAGGAAGAGCTTTGGTATTGCAGAGCAGCCTGGGCAGCTCTCAGCAGTCCTAGCCAACTTGCTCGAACAATTCCAGAGTAGGCAAAAGAGACAAGGAGTCGCAGGTCCTGGCTAGAGATGGTATGCAGAGACACCTCTGTGCCCTGGGATTCCCTCATCCCACTCAGGAGCATAGCCCCAAAGAACTCACTGCCACAGGCCAGGGCTGCTCGGTGCACTGCAGGAGAGAAGAAACAGAGGAAGACCCAGAGTGTTACAAGGCACAATCCTAAGTTGACAATCCCAAAGTGGGCCAACCACCCAAAGCCACAGGCCAAATTATGGTGTGCACTGGAATACCACAGAATGCCTGTTAAAATGCAGCCTTCAGTGCCCAACCCCAGGGATTCCGATTTAGCAGATCTGGTCAGATTTAATAGGAAAACAGATATGCTTTCAAGGGAGAATGCAGGATATCTTGGGGAGACACATCTTTTGGAGTAAAGTAAGAAATACATATTCAAGGGAGGATGCAGGCCATCTCCAGAGGGAGAGACAGCCAAGAATTTGAATTTTAACATTTTAAGCCTGGTACAATGGCACATGCCTATCATCCCAGCTACCCAGAAAGCTGGGACAGGAAAATGACAAGTTTGTGGCCAGCCTCAGCAACTTATCAAGACCCTGTCTCAAAATAAAAAATTAAAAAGGTTTGGGGATATAACTCAGTGATAAAGCACACCTAGGTTCAATCCCGAGTACCAAAAAAAAAAAAAAACCCACAAAATATTTTTGAGCACCCTGCATGAGTCTCATATTCAGTGTGGCTTCAAGATGCTTTAGTTTTTTGGTTCCAGGTGAGTTAGAAAACAAATCCTGATGGATCAAGTTATGAAGACAACGTCATAGACAGTATTTTCTATAAGGGGGCACAAAATAAACTGAACAGACCAATGTGCAACTTATATAAGTCTCTCTATATTCACAGAATAAAGTTCTTTTCTTTACAAATGCAAGAGCCAGTGCCATAATCCATTCTGTTAGATTTTGCTGGAAAAGTGGTACAACTCAAGAATGGCTATAACACAACCCCATCTGATTGCCATCTTCTCTTGCCTAAGATTTAATGCTTAAGATTTCCCATGGGTCACAACTTTCCTCTGTACTTCGCTCTGCTCATCTTGGTATAGTCCATGAAATCACAAGATTTGGAACATCAGTCTTCAAAATCATCTAATTCATTTACATGTTTTAAGAAAAGGAAACTGAATATTACAGAAAGGATGTGATTTATTTTCTATTTCCATCCAGTGGCTGTCTGGGCAGATCATTACCATCCATTGTCACTGACATTAACCTGCAACAAACAATCTTGTGTACCAGTATTTGATTATCTGCATGGCCTTCATGACTATGAAACTGTCCTATTAACAAACATTGTCAAATATTTAACCTAAATCTCATTAAGCCTTTAAATCTAAAGTCAAGTTTGTAAGAAATTAAAAAACTAAAGGAACTAACAAAATAAAGCCATAAGGGAAAATCAGGAAATAGAACATTTTATAGAATAACTAATCTTGTTTCTTCAATATACTAAGTCATAAAAATGTGGAGAGAACACTCAGCTAGATTAAATGAAATTTAAGAGACATATGACTAAATACTGTATAGCCCTTTATTGATTCTTGGGTTGAATAAACTAGCACATTTTTAGGATCTGGGAATATATAAATGTGGACTAAGTGATTTTTTTTTAAATATTTATTTTTTAGTTGTAGTTGGACACAATACCTTTACTTGTTTTTATGTGGTGCTGAGGATCGAACCCAGGGCCTCAGGCTTGCTAGGTGAGTATGCTACCACTGAGCCACAACGCCAGCCCCTAGGTGATATTATATTAAAGAATTATTGTTAATTTTATTGGGCATGATAAAGATATTGTAGATATATGAAAAGCAGTTTTGTTTTTTGTGGTGCTAGGGATTGATCTCAGAATGTAGTACATGCTAAGCATATACTCTACCAGTGAGCCACATCCCAGCCCAAATGTCCTTCTTTTTTTTCACCCAACCATTTATGAGAAATATGTCATAAACTTCCTTTAAACTTTAGAAAAAAATAGAGATGAAATGAGTAATAAGATGTTATTTGTTAAGTCTGCATGAAAAGTATTTGACTTTTCATCTTAATATTCTCTTTACTCTTCTATGTGCTTGAGATGCTTCATAATAAAAAGGGGGAAATGCTGCTAGAAGTCCTCTCTGACAAGTCACAGAGGAGCCAAACTCTTAGTGAGGTTTATTAACTCCATGCTGTTTTGGCCCAATATGATGTATGTGCCTCTCTCAAATGGTAACTGATGTTGATATGGCTTTCCATTGTCTTTTTAAGCACTAGGTAGTGGTCTAGCACTTCCCAATAACGTCAGTGATAGTTTTCCATTATATATTGTCAGAGAATATCTACATTCTAAGCCACTCAGCTTCGATATCATCAATCAACCTGTAGCTCAGATCCAACTATGAAAGGGCTTACAACCACTTGTACTTGCCACTGCCTCCTAACACTTTAAGTGAGGGGTTCCTAGACGGTGATAGGGATATATTTAAATTTCAAGCCCCAGTGAAATTTTTTTTGTGTGTGTGAAATTTTAAAGTCTCCTTCCATCAAGTGCTATCAGAAATGATAAAAAAAAGCTTTTGGGATAGTTTTCCTTCTGGGAGTTCCAGAAACACTCTGGTCCCCAGTCATTCCTGTACCGAGAAGTAACTATATGACTTTGGACATGTTTTGGGGTCTGGTTTCTTTGTCAGTAAAGTATAAGAGCTGAACTAGATAATTTTTAAACTAATTCCTTGTAACTTTGAACTTTTAAGTGTCACATCCATTTTCCAAGTCATATGAATCTTGGTATAACTGCAGAGGAAGTAATGCAAGGCCTAGTGGAGGCTGACTGAACTAATAAGAGTGAGCTTGTATTCGTGTTTTCATCAGCTAAGAACTCTTGAGTTTAATGTTCCTTGTCTGCACCTAGGGGCAATGGTTTCTATCTCACTAGTTTTCAGTGAGAATTGAGAGAGATGTCATGTGTAAAAATTCCTGGTACCCTGTACTTCACTAAGTATTAGAAGAATCTGAATAATACTCAATTTATTCAACCCTACTTTACTTAGCTTTCCTAGTGACTAAAGTCAAAGTGACATGGCCTGCTAGCCTTAAGATTCTGGAAAAAAAAAACAAAAAAAAACAGTACCAGACCTTGCTCATTAGCTGCAGAACCCTTAAGTCTGCCATGTTGTCAAGCACACTGTTGACACACTGTTTTCCACCCAATACCTCTGCCTTTTCCTGTGTACTACAGAAGATGCCAAGAAGGGCCTCTAGTTAATCTGTTTGAGTCAATCACTTTCTGCTTGTTCTACTGCCACGGATTGTACCCTTAAATCCAGCCAGCTGGCTGAAAATTCCTTGTTAGTGAGCAGGAAAAAACCCAGAGCCTGAAGGGTCATTTTAAACCTATCCGACGCCTTGGCAAAACAACTGTACTGCGCACGCGCAGTTCTCAGTGACTGGCTGAGCGCCACAAGTCACCCTAGAGAAATTCTGACAGCAGTACCAAAATCGCTGTGGTGGAGTTCAAACCACCTGCTGCTTACACACCATTTCGGTAGCATCTGCACCTGCAGCCATGTAATGCCCCACAGGCCCTCACCCCGCAACCTGTAGCCGTCTGCCTCCAGCTCCAGGTCACACCCGACGCCCTCTCGGTACAGAAGCTCTATGCTGCGCAGACTCTCCCTCAGCTCCTCTGCCTGGCTGAGCTTCTTTTCTTCTTCCCTGGCGTTTCCTGGTTCCTCGCATCTCCGCTGTGCCGCGGCCTTTACCCGGGGCGCCCCCAAGGCATGAGCCGCAGCCAGCACATCCCCCAATGAGGCGGGGCCCAGCACCCCTTCGTAGGCAAAGGTCAGCACGGCCTCCCAGCCCCCCGGGGCCACATCCAGGCTGAAGCCAAGCCGCGGCGCTACGCCGCTCAGCAGCCTGTCTCGGAAGAGGCTGCTGACTGCGGCCAAGATCACCCGGTGCACACCATACACCCGCCCCCTGACTGTCACCTCTTCGTCTAACAAGAGCCTGTGTTCCCGCAGCCTCTGGGCTTCTGCGAAGAACTGGCTCGGATGCTCCTCACTACACAGTCCCTCCAGCTTGGCTGTGTCTCCATCGTCCTCATTCTGTTCCTCTTCCTCTAGGAACAAAGCCGGGGAGGGAAGGTTCCCTGGGACCAGGGATCTGGGGCTATGCTCTTGCAGAGGAAAGGACAGTAAATCAGGATCCTCATCTGGGGAAGAAGGCCAGGAGTTTCTTTCAGTGGGCAAAGGGTGTCCAAAACCGTCCTTATGGAGGGGAAGGGAGACGGGCTGCAGGTCCGAGAGATGATGTGCTGTGTCCAAGAGGCTCATGGCCTAGGTCTGATGGATTGCTGCAGGTGAGCAGGCAAGAGAGAAGGTCATCTTAGCTGTATCCAGAGTGACCAGAGGTACCATGTCTTCACCTCATGGAACTGTCAGTCCCTCCCCTGTTCCAATCTCCCACCCCCACCCTAAGATGACACTCAAGTCTAGAGTAGTGGGCTAACCACTGCCAAGCATGGGGTTTACCCAGTGTAAGGAGCATGCAAGAAATGTAAAGATCCAAGACCAGGGACCCAACCCCTCCCATCTTGCCCCCATCCTTTTAGTTCCCATTAGGAGACACCAGCCTTCTATTTGCTGTCTCACTTGAGCACTCTCTCTGCTTGGGACTGCTGTGTGCTCAGGGAACTGCTATGTGCTCACCCTTGTCCCAGTCAGTAGCCCCACCTGGCTAATTATAGCTGGTGCAAGAGGGCTAAAGGCTGGGTTCCCAGTGCCCAAACTCTGACACCCAATCTCCTGGGTTCTGTCCTGAGATGACTCCCCTACCCTTCCACCTGTAAGTCACTAGGAGGTGCTGAGTGAGGGGAATTTGGTGGCCAAGGAGCATGTGGGCATCTGGTAAAGTGAGCCAGGCCAGAGGGTTGTGGCCACCCAGTGGGCTGTGGAGTAGGAAGCTGAAGAGTCTGGACTACACTGAGTTGGACAAGAAGAGTGTTTTAAGTTAGTCTTCAGTGCATGATAAACTTGGGACCCTGGAGCAAACAATACTGATATGAAACGCAAACAGCCTGGCCTGGTCTGCACAGGGCAAAGGAGAAAGGGTTAGTGAAGTGATGGGGGTCAGTGTTACATGATTAGGTGCCTCACCTTGGCAGAGCAGAGCTTCTTCTGTATTCCAAGGTGAGATCCAAAAACCTAGCACTGTGTTTTTGGAAGACTCTAACCTGGACCACTGGGATGAGGACAAAACAAGAGGAATGTGTGGGGGACCAGTGTCCTGGGCTGGGTATACACAGGTATTCCCAGTGTTTGAGGTGGCACACCAACAGCTACTCCCTTCTTTCTCATCCTGAGATTGAATGCTTGGTTGAAAATCCTAAAACAGGATAATCACTTTGCAAGGTAGTTCTGGGTATCATTCTGGGGAAAGAATTTAGGAAGAGGACTGAAATGTATTTCCCTTCCCCTCTCTAGGGAGTTAGGATGGGCCAAAGGCTGCTAGAGGTGAATGACCTCATCTATAGAAGGGCTGGCCCAATCTTGATAGGCTGACCAAAGAAGCAGACTTATCAAGGGAAAGAAATTATTCAGGTGAGTGCGCTCTTATGGGGGTGGAATGGGAAGGTGATTTTACCAATACTGCATCCCCTCTGACTTCTGGAGTTGTCTCTGTTTCCCCATTTACAGCCCTCATACCCTGGTAACCAGGGGTAGCATTCCTTGGGTAAGCCTAATCCTCAGGCCACACTCCCCAAAATGGGTTGATTTAGAGAGGCAACTCTTGGTAACTAGGCTAGGGAAAGGGAAGATAATGACTAGTTTCTATACCCTTTTCCCCAGACCAGACATTCCAGACTACCTGTAGCAAAACAATGTGGCCAGCATCTTAAGCCATCATCAGTAAGTGGAGGAAATACATTTCAGAGACATATCTCTAGCTGCCCTCTGGTTGTCATCTGCCTCTAAGGACAGGGACTTTGGATCCAGCTATGAGCGGTATGACAATTCTACAGTCCCAGGGTATCTGTGCCACAACCAACAATTCCTGGAGGCTCTGTGTGGCTCCACCATGGTAAGAAAGACCCATGCCCCACAGAGAACTCTCAAAGATAGGAAAAAAATCTGCTGTCTGAGCCACCACTCATTTCCATTAAAGCCTGGGACTTCCCTCCTCCTCCAAATCCTTCCTGTCACCATGCTCCTGGTTGCAGAGCGGTCATGGCATTTCAGTCATGTCTGTACAGTCTCAGCCAGAGGACAGCATGACTTCCACCTCTGCAGAGAAGTCCTGTGCCAAGCCACACTCTTGAGAAGATGATCCAGATAATTTCCGGGCCAGGACCGGCAAGATGCCAGAACACTTTGGCTGGGTCATGAGGATCATGTTAAGACTAGAGCTCACGATTTCCAAAGTAGGGTATGTAGGTTGATGAGAGACTTTGTTCCAGAGAACATAGAGGATACTTCTGAGCAATGGAGAAGAGAGCTGGAGAATTAGCGTGCACTGGAATGACCTCCTCCCTCACTTCTTTGCTCCACAGATGTGCTATGTGCGCATCATCTGTGGTGTCATCTTCTATCTGCTGTTGCCTTGGATGACTGCTCAGGCAGACACAAGTATGAGCTCAGAGCTCTGGGAAGTAGGAAGGGATTTAGGGAACAAGGCCTGAATGAATGAATTCTCATTCCTACCCAGGGCTCACATGGCTCATCATCCTGCTCTTGGCCTCAGTCACTAAGATTAGCACCTTGCCTATCACAGGCATCTCAGCCAATGTCAAAGTGAAGGCTGGTGAGTCTGTTGTGACTGTTATCTCTCAGAGCCCCCAGTCCTGTTAGGAATCTCTGAGATCACAGACCAGCTCTTCCTTTCTCTTCTCCTAGGTGGCACATACTTCTTCATCTCATGTAGTCTGGGTCCAGAGCTTGGCATTTCCATGGGGATCATTTTTGCTTCTGCCAACACTGTAGCTGTGGCTAGGCACACTTTGGGATTTGGGTAGTGCTGATTCTTTCCCTCTTTGTATTCTGTCTCAAGTCTGTTGATACTGGAAGGTCTTACCTTGCACTGTGACTCCAGCTTGGGCAAATCTTTCAAATCACATGAGGGGGCATCAACTCAGCCAATAAACACTCTGTGATGTGTGCATTCTGCCTTTCCAGAAACACTGGGCACAGCAGCTAAACACAGATCCAGAAGATGAGCTACTGGTGGTTGGTGTGATGACTGTAACTATTCTTCTGAGACTGACACTGGCCTGTATGAGTGGGAATCTAAGGCAGGTGCCAGAGAATTGAGGTTGGTGAGGAGGCTGAGGGAATGACAGTGAGAATTGGATGGGGCTACGAGAGGCTAAGGAGCAATGGGGAAATATGTGGGATTGTATGTGGGGGGCAAAAGCAGCTGCAGCCTGAATAGGCCAAGCTAAATAAGGAGAAGAAGCTGGTGAAGCACATTCTCATGGACAGAGACCTGAAATTGGATGATTTTGCTGGGAGAGACTCTATATCACAGCTCCTCAAGGGGAAAGAAAAGAGGCCTTATTCTGAGGATGTGTTGGGATGAGTGTTGAACAAGAGTGAAGGTGGGAGGAGGACAGTAGATAAGAAATATTATTTACTATTCCCGTATGTTTACAATTTTAAGATCCACCCCTCTGGCATGGGGAGGGATAACTTGCAGTTTGAGGAAAAAAAAAAAAAAGGATGCCCATTTTGCCAGGACTCCTTTCTGGGAAAAGGTTGGTGGGAAAGGGAACTATAGGGTTGAGAGGAGCATTAAGCTAGGATGAGGAAAGTGAGGAGGGGGAGTAGCTATCCCTCCCCTTCCATTCACATTTTTGCCTTTCTTTTGTCAGGTCCAAATTATTTTCTTCTTCCTGATCCTCTTCTCATTCCTGGGGACACTCCTCTGCTGAGACCTCAGTCAACAAGCCACTAGCTTCTTTGGGTAGAAGGGTGAGACAATAGGAAGGTGGCTGAGAAATTAAAGGGAATGAATACCTCAGAAAGTCACCTCCCCTTGGATCCCAGAAAAGACCCTTGACTTCCAATTATCCTTGTCACTTGCAAATTGATCATCAGACCAGTCAGAGTCATCTAAGTCCTTGGATGAGTTAGGAGGCAAAATTCCCTCCTTTCTAGCCTAACAACTCACTGACTCACTGGGAAGGAGATAATGAGGATCCTAGCTGAGTGAAGAGAAGTCAGTAACTCTCCTTGCTGTTCTTTCAAATAGGAAATATTTTCTTAGCAAATGTGGTCCCATAATGGCATGGTCCAGAGGGCAGTTTGAGGGGCACTTTGTCTAGATTCTTCCTTTAGCTCCTGGAGTCCTGGCTGGGGCCAGTCCTCTGGGAACCTCAAGGTAAGAGGCTATCCAGGATAGGGGTGCATTCCTTCTCATCCTTCACTCCACGAATGGTCCAACTTTTGTTCTTAGTACCCTGCTATGGTTATCCCCAAGGGAGCATAGTGTGAACCATATTCTTCAATTTGGGCATTTGTCACCATCAAGAAAGCCTTCTACCTGCCTTCTGTGCAGAATGATCTAGAGCCCTGGTTTCTACCTCCCCAGAGGACTAGGGTATAAGTGATTATGCACTCATCACTCACATTAAAAGTAGTGTACACATTTTCTTTTCAATCTTTTTGTAGGCTTTCTGTCCTGGATCTGGAGCCCAGGTTTCTGTGCTGTGCAGAATCTGAAAACAAATCACAGGGAGAACGCTGAGAACCCTGAAAGCCAGGAAATGGGACATGAATTACATTGTTTTAATGCAATTTGGATTTTGGATATTGAAGAGCATTTCATGCCATGTGTATAACCATGAAAATGCCACAGTGACTGTACACTTTATCCAGAATTGGGAACCATTGTTTATAGTTGAAAAGGAATTAACTCTGAATGGCTTCCTTGTGTGCTGTGTAGACTTGTCCACTTTAGACTTTCAGGAACCATTGACATTCAGGGACATGGTCATTGATTTCTCTGAAGAAGAGTGGAATTGCCTCGACCCAGCTCAGCAGACTTTATATGGTGATGTGATGTTAGAGGTCTATAGAAACCTGGTCTTTGTGGGTGAGCATAAACTTCCTTCAGAATTTTTAATTCACTGACAATGTTTAATTTTTTTTAATTTGTGGAATATGTTTTGGCAGTTTCTATTCTGCATGAAAAAAGTGTAAGGTTCTTGATTTTATGATGAAGATTGGGCATTTGTTTATGTAGAAAAAAATGTTAAAGATTTTTCTTTTTATGTTTAACCTATCATTGCAAAGCAGTGCTTACAATCTGGAAACTGAAAATCATTCCAAGTATTTTGTCTTTCAAAATATTTTTTGACAAGTATTTTGTCAAAAAAAATTAGAAAAATAATTGTATAGAATCTTCTATGATATCCTGTTTTTCTTTTTTTTTTATAATGAGAATAGTATTACAAAACAGGCACAGTTCTTATTACACATATATACCACAATTTTTTCATATCTCTTGTCTTCATACATGTACTTTGGATAATGATGTCCATCAATTCCACAATTTTTGCTACTTTAATATAATTTAAATATTAATTCACTCAAATTTTTTCATCAGACTTTTACAGATTCTCCATAAAATTTTTTTGTACCTTGTAATGAAAGCAATGATTCAAAATATCTGCTCCTAGTGACAATATAAGTATAGCTGATAAATGTAGTTTGAAGAAGGATTTATAAGGCTGAGAATGTAACTCA